TTTCTACGTCGCAAGATGTCACAGGGGCATACTTAAAACAAGTCAAATCACTTGCGTCAAGTTCTAATTCACTGTTGTCAAATTCAACTTCTTTGCCACAAAGAATGTCAGAAATTGTACACAGTGTTGAATATCCAGGATTTCATTGGAGCACATTTTGTAATTTTGCACTAATTTTCACAGCAACTTCGCCCTGTGCTTGATGTAATTCACTTTCAACTTTCTTAACAATTTGTAATGCATTGCACAGTTGCATGCCCACAGATTCAAGTCTAATAATGGATTTTGATATCACACTGAAATTTGATTTTATGTACGCTAGATTTCTTGACGGGGTGATGAAAACAAATTTTGTACAGTTCGAATTGAAGATGAATCATTTCTGTCAAACTTCATGAAGATATTTTCAATCACACTGTAGTGCGTGCAATATTAATCTGCAGCATCAAGCCAAGTCCCCCATCGTGTTAGTATAGGCTTAGGGGGAAGGGGTAGTGATGAAGCCTCTTCTTTAAACTTCTGCAATCGAAGTGGAGCCTTAACAAAAATTTTCTTCCCATTTGCTATTAATTTATCTACATCAAAGTAGCTCTCTCGCAACTCTTCTGCTACCCTATGCAGAGCATGTGCGAGACACATTGCATGAATCATTTTGGGATACAGTACCTGAAGTCCCTTTGCTGCCTTTACCATATATGTAGCGGCATCCATTAAGAAGAGGAGCACATTCTCTCATTCTACCTTACACGTCTTAACTCAAACTCGCGTACTATGTCATTCTTCCATGAGAATCAGTGCAACAGGACACTAAACTAAAATATTATATACTTGGACACCAGCGTGCTGCTCATGATCATCACACTCTTGCATGCCCGCTTACCCACTACCATGTTTTATAATAATTAGTTGGGCTAAAACCACTGCTGAAGGATGTAAAAACAGTTTTCAACATTTCATGCACAGTGCGAAGAAGTGAAGTTCTGTAGGATTTGAGGTTCTCAAAGCAGTGATTATGAAGTGCACTATTTTGTGGAATATCATGCCATGAAATCTGTTGAAAGTCAACCGTTTTGGAGGAACATATCGTCACCATCTTCAGGGTCTACTTGCCACCTGCTTTTCCAAAGGTTTCTTGCTCAGCTTATTCTTGGACTGTAAAGATGGGGGTGACATGTTCCTCCAAAACGTTAGTTCACTTTCAACAGATTATACAGAATTATATCCCAAAGGTTAGTCCTCTTCAAGCAAAGCTTCTGTGATCTAATTTCAATTTCATAAGGCACATAGATGGATTTAATGAAGTATCTTCAGTAATAGGTGCCATGTCACAAGGATATAAAACTTGTGGCATATGGTACAGGATATGCTCTGGCACAAACAATTGAAACGCTCCAAATAAAACAGTAATGTGCAAGTGGTAACATCACTGCCAGACAGCTGAGGAAGAGGGATGGCGGGTGGAAGACGGGCTAAGACAAACTCAGTTCTTCAGTTTCTCTCACTGCCAGCAGAACTGTTGCGGTAGGTTCACATCCTTGCCACCATATGACCTGTCTTTACCACACACTTGATAGTTACTGACGTAACTTTTGCTCTCATAAATTTCTAGCACAATTATATCATCAACTGACAGATATCTAGGATAGCACAGTTGTTATAGCAACTGGCTACAGGCTGGACAGCTGAGGGGTTGGAGTCTGAGACCTACTAGAGGTATTTTTTTATTTATTTATTTCGTCTCTATAGACCATTGTTACATTATATAGGAAAAGTCAGTTACTGTAGGTTGTTGTCCAGACTGGTTCTGGGGCCCACCCAGTCTTCCACCCAGTGAGTACTGGGGGCTCTCTCCCCGGGAATAAAGCAGCCGGAGTATGGATGCCAAGGTCAAGAATATGCAGATCTATACATCCACTTCCCCATGTGACTTCATGGCGTAGTACTTAACCCTTTGACGTGGTCATTTAAATTCCGCGGCCGCGGCTCCTGCGGTAANAGACATTTCTTTCCCATATTTGGATATATTTGCATTTTTCCAACAAACATGAATATCATGGTCGCTTAAATTCTGCACTATTAGTTAAGATGTATAACTTAATTAACATTACTGTTTGGTCAAGCAAACCTAAATAAAACCCAAACTGCACCACAACTTTCGCAGCAGATATTGTTGTGTAAGGAAGAGATAAAGAGGATGAACTATTTGTTCATAGTACTGTGGAATTCTTTGGTTGTTTTGTGTGAGAAAACTCAATTAGGAGAGGATGGTCCGATAAGGAATAGAGTAAAATTAGTATATATATATTTTATATGTGAATTTTTGTAACAAGATGTAACCTCTGTTAATATATTTTTCAACCTCATCAACTGGAAAAAAGTCTTGATACAACTTAAATTGAAAGAAAATTTAATGGTTGTTGACTTATAGGAAGACATACCTCTATGTTTCCTAAGAGGATAATACATGGAGCAACCTTTCGAGCCTTAGTGAAGACATGTTTCAATTTGCCTTCAGTATAGCCTGCAGATCCTCCTTGTAGCTCAGATGAATTCACGATGAACAGATTCAAGCCCAGTCTCTCAGCAACATTCCTGATCACATCTCCTTTACCCACACCTCGAGGACCAGAAAGGAGGAACAGTGGTTTAAGCTGAAAGCTGTTCAAGCGCAGAACAAAAGGTTGTATGCAAGCCAACAGCTCATCTCGATATTCATCCAGGCCAAATGGACACGTACTTAGGAGTGGTGACGTCAGATTATTTCCTTTCATGAAAGTAACATCACTACGAGGAACATATCCTTGCTGATTTGAACCCTGCACCAAAGAAGTGAATCCCTTGACAACATAGTATCCATGTTTCAAATCTTGATGGGTTGTATGTCCGTAACATGGTCCTTCAACATCCAAAACTTTGAAGTACAATGTCTTAAGTTTACCGTTCAGGTATGTTACAGCTGGTGCACATTTTACTATGTCTATGCAGAAAACATCACCTTTTCGAAGATAGTGTGGATGTTGGAAGTAACATGATAAAACTGTATCCAGCACTGTCTTGATGTCACAAATTGGCTCAAAGAGACCCACTCTGGCCATGGTTGCCATGTTTGGTACAAAAAGTTCATGTCCATCCAACTTTTCCACTTGTATAATGTCATTCACAAGTAACAAGGCTTGGGTTATGTTGTAATGAAGGACATTGGTTACAACTGCTACTGAATCTTCAATGTCTGCTACTGCAATAACATGGACGAGATACGAATGTGATGCATTAGAAACCACAGATTTCTCTGAGAATTTATACAATTTCAACCATGAACAACTGCAGACACCAAGGGATTGTAAAGTATTGAAGCTGACTAAAATGGATGCATTAACGTTCCCTGAAACTGTGGATTTCGTGTCCATGAGTATATGGCACAAAAATGCATCCTCTGGAACACACCTCAGTTCCAATTTTAATTTAGTTTTCTGTCTTCGCTGTTTTGCAGCATAAAATGTGGCCAGCAATGGAAAAAGTGATGACTTATATCTTGATAACAAAATTGTTACAGTAAATTGCAATATTCCAAGTGGTGTATTCATATCACGCATTTCGATCTGGTTGATGTAGTTACAGTTCATGTTTAAAGAACCAGAATGGAACCATAACATTTACAGTACGTATTACAAACATTATAACAATTTGGTAATATAAATCATGGGACAGACGTGTTCTGCAGACACTTTATTAATAACGGAATAAAAAACAGTACGACTTGGAATACATACAAACAGCATTTGTATTCAACGCATATTATATATTTAATAATGACAAGCAAGTTAATATTCATCACCGACTAACTTTCACATCTCCTTCGTTTAGCCACCGTTCGGGAAATTGTAACGACCGTAACAACGTGGTATAATCACACTTTTCCATATCAATTAGAATAAACATGCACCTTGGTTCTTCAAATAGTTAACGCGGTACAAACTAGCTTGGTAACTGTGTTAACAGCCATCAAACTTGGCACATAACATTGTTTTCGTAACTCTACCACGGGTCACTATGCCCAGGTGACTATGCCGTGGTACTCATGTACACTCATGTAGCTCATGTACTCATGTAGTTGTAATTTTTAACATCGTGATGATGTGTATATGGCTGTAAAGAAATTAAGGCATGAGGAAATTAATTCTGCAAGAAGGTGTATTTAGTGTCTCTGTATTTCCATAACGGATAACAACTTGTTGATGTATTTGATAAATTGACAATTTATTTACACATAGTTTTTCAAAATGAAGTGAGTATTTGAATTCGTTACGAGCTATTGAACTTGTAACAAAATGTGAGGTTATGTTAGATCATTGACAGCATAAATATGATATTTTCAGGCTAAGTGTCGATGGGCTGCTGGTGTATTTTCCGTATGATTATATTTATCCAGAACAGTATGCATACATGTTGGAATTGAAGAAGGGACTAGACGCTAAGGTAAGAGACGATTATCTGTATAATACTGCAGTACATGGAAGAAGATACTTGTAATAAAGTTAGCAGCGATGTTTGTTGTTTTAGGGCCACTGCCTACTGGAAATGCCATCAGGAACTGGAAAAACTGTGTCTTTGCTTTCTCTTATTGTTGCATACATGATTGCAAATCCTCTGAGTGTGACCAAGCTCATCTACTGCTCACGAACTGTTCCTGAGATTGAAAAGGTTTTAGAGGAATTGAAGAAATTAATGACCTATTACGAGAAAGAGAGGGGACAGGCGCCAAAAATGGTAGGGTTGGTCCTCAGCTCAAGGAAGAACATGTGCATTCATCCTCAGGTATATGACAGCATATTGATACTTCAATGTTACCTACTGTTAGTTACAGAAATTTTTATGATTGTGTAGAGTGACAGATCTTTCTCTTTACTCTGAACAACAAGGATGTGTTTTTAGTTCTTGTCCTGCCTCTTGTTTCAACTATAAGTATTACCTTATGGACACATGAACATTGTGCTTTATTTTAAAGGTCATGAAATGTTTACCAGGTGAGCAAAGAGCGTGATGGGAAAATTGTTGATGGACGATGCCACAGCTTAACTGCTTCTTATGTTCGAGAAAGACACAATTATGATGACAGTATACCCATCTGTTCATTTTATGAAGGTTTTGACATTGAAGGACGTGAAGTGCAGCTGGAGCCCGGTGTATACAGTCTGGATGACTTGAAGGAATATGGGCAGGAGAGAAACTGGTGTCCGTACTTTTTGGCAAGATATACAGTGAGTATGAAGAAGTTTTGATGAAGGAGAGTTGATAACATTGTACATGATTGATTCTCACCATACTGAATTATATGGTAAAGTGAAAATTATCAAGTTATAATAATTCTACCAGTTATACATAAGAAGAAATTCACTTTGAGGTCACTTGTTTATTTTAATTAATGGACCATGTTAATGTTAACTATATTTTATTAGTATAATATTCTTCTAGTTAATACTTTATGAATCATTATGTGAGAAACATTGAATTAAAACTGTTACTTTTGTCCTCCTCAATTTTATCTACCATTTAAGGTTTGGAAGGTGTTTGTAGGTAGCAAGAGACATGACTGAATGAGCTATCTGCTGTATGCCAAACATTATTTAAATTAAATATATATAGCATCTTGAATGTAACCTTAGTTGCTGTGTTAGCAACATGAACAGACACTTTTTATAAGCACTTTATGTATGGTGTAGTTCTAACATACTCACTCGCTCATGTAGCTGAGACCTTGAGAAGCTGCCAATTGTGCAGCCACTCAAGAACTTAATTACCATGTTCACAAGAGCCCTCCACTGGTCTCTGTCCTGAGCCAGACCAATCCAATCCATACCATCCTATCCTATCTCTCTGAGATCCATTTTAACATATTCAACCAACCTATGTCGTGGTCTTCATAGTGGCCTCTTTCCTTTTGGCTTTTCCGCCAATATCCTATATGCATTCCTCCTCTCCCCCATTCATGCTACATGCCCTGCCCATATCACCCTCCTTGACTTGATCAATCTAATATAGTTAGAGAAGAGTACAAGTTATGGAGCTCCTCATTATGCAGTTGTTTCCAACCTCCTGCCACTTCATCTCTCTTCGGTCCCAATATTCTCCTGAGCACCCTGTTATCTAACACCCATAGTCTATGTTCCTCCCTTAATGTCAGAGACCAGGTTTCACACCCATATAAAACCACAAGCAAAATTATAGTTTTGTATATTATAATTTTTTTAAGTTCTAACATAAAGGAATTTTATCATATTTTTCACTTATAGATAATGTTTATATACAGGTGTCCCAGGAGGAATGGACCAAACTTCGGGAGGGTGTTCCTTATGTTAAAGTATGCTGATATAACCCAAAACACCTATGTCCAAAGTTGAACGGTTACGGAGATAATGGCCAGAGAAGTGTCAAACTTTGACTGGCGTTGCACACTTGTTGATTACAAAATACATATTAAAACTGGCAGGAATATGTAGATTCTGTAATGTTAATAATGTACGTAACATCAGACTAACTTGTGAGTGACATGAAGCCATAAAATTGAAGTACAAAGTACTCGCTCGCCATGTCATAATTGTCCTTAGGGTTTCCAAGCACTATACATGACACATGAATGGCAAGCGCTGACGTAACGTACTGACTGCGCGTTCTGATAAAGCCAACTACATAAGCACGGCTAGGGTGTATCACCGCACTCAAGGACAAACACAGATAAGGCCTCTCAGCTGAGAGGTACAGTGCGTGGACCTGCCAGAAGACCACACTTTTCTTGGGCCATTATCTCCGAAACCGTTCAACTTTGGACATAGGTGTTTTGGGTTATATCGGCATACTTTAATATAAGGAACACCCTCCCGAAGTTTGGTCCATTCCTCCTGGGACACCCTGTATATAAAAAACTTACAGGTCACATTGGACGGAGTGATTTATATTTGTTATATAACATAATTTTATAATCTGAATTTTTGCAGATTCTGCATGCAAACATTGTGGTGTACAGCTACCATTACTTGTTGGATCCAAAGATAGCTGATGTTGTATCTAAAGAACTCTCCAGATCCTCTGTTGTTGTGTTTGATGAAGCTCACAATATAGGTAATTGTAGATCAGTGGTACAGCTGGAGAATATGGTCAAGTCATTTAACCCTTTCCATTGTGCAAAAATTGACCATAATGTGTAAGTCCTGTTCATTTTTCTGGGGGAAAAAATTATAAATACTTTGTATTGTTATTCAGTTATGTAAGTCAAAATAAGAAACCACCTTCTTCCATCCAAGATCATTCACAAAAATTTAAATAAGGCCAGCACAAGTCAATGCAGATTGTTGATTATATTGTATGCTACACAGTGAGACAAGAAGGATCTTGTAGAATATGTTAGAAATTACATGCAAGGAAAAAGCTCAAATGCAGAATATGTCATAAATGAATCAGAAAAGGTTAAGAATAATCTGAACTGTCATGAGATCAAGAAAAAGAAAGTGGGATTTCTTTTGTTGCAGTTTTCATCTTTATGAGTTTATGTTCTCCGGGTTCTTCATTAGTTAAGACCATATTATCCAAAGTCTTAAGACAGGTAGTTACTATAGGATTCTGATGATGAGGTATAACACACAGAGATATTGGGTTTTCGGACTTTATCCATCATCCTGGTTTTTAAGATAACTAAGAAAAAACACGACGTTTCGGAAACTGGTTCTGTTTCCATCCTCAGGTGAGGTAAAAACACCTATTCTGTTGGGTCCCTTAGAAAGAGCTAGCCTCAATCACTGATTGAGATCCAGTTTCTGAAACGTCGTTTTTTTTCTTAGTTATCTTAAAAACCAGGACAATGGTTAAAGTCCAGAAACCCAATATCTCTGTATCTTAAGACAGGCCATTTGGAATTTAAACTCTCTCTCTATATATATAACTTCTGCAGTTCGGTATGGATAAGTTTCAGACAGAAATGCATATTTCCAGCCAGCCAGTACAATATGTTAATATTAGCGTTCTAATTTTTTTAATGGATTAAATAGTGTGGTTCTGTGTTGCAGACAATGTGTGCATTGACTCAATGAGCGTAAAAATAAACAGGAGAATCATAGACAGGAGCACAGCCAACATACAGTTGCTGGAGCAGACTGTCAATGAGTGAGTAATCTACCTCTGAATTCATACTAAATTCGACATACATAATTAATGCTAAATATCTCTAGTAAAGGTGAAAGGTAAAATTATCTCTGGGCTTTAATTAATTAAGCACCATGCCATGGTGATGTATGGGGAATGGAGATATAGAGCCACCATTCTTAAACTTGGCTTTAGGTGTAATTGAGTTGTCAGCTTGACATCTACACTGCTTTATCCCGGGTACACATATTATGTGAAGCTGAGTGTACCCCAGAACCAGTCTGGATATTATGAAGAAGAGAAAAATCCAACTCCTCAGCCACTGAGCCTGTATCCTAGTCACAGTACTGACAGAGCTATCCTACCTCATGGCTGCGCCATAGCTCAAGCAGTTAGTTGCTGGCTTCCCACCGCAGCGGCCTGGGTTCGATCCCTGGTCCCGTCAAGTGGGATTTGTGGTGGACAAAGTGGCGCTGGGGCGGGTTTTCTCCGAGTACTTCGGTTTCCCCTGCCAGTCTTCATTCCACCAAATTCTCCATCATCATAATCACCCAGGGCAGGTACAATAGGCCAATCGGTGGCTGCCGTGCCGAGTGGACCCAGTTGGACTCCACCCCCCACTAAGCGAATTAAAAAAAAATATATGCTACCTCATAAATAGCCTTAGCATTATTGTAAAATAAATGAATAAACACTATAAGAATAAAGAGTTTTGTCTTCTGAGATATATTGTCATGTAATTTGTTGAAAGCCAGTCAGCATTTCAGAGGAACATGTCTCCATCTTCAGCCTTGAAGCTTGCTGCCTTCTTGAAGCTAGTTTTATTGTGTGTCTTACTCTTCAACCCTAAAGATGGAGGTGACATGTTCCTGTGAAATGTCCATTGTCTTTCAATTGAATGCACAGCATTATGTTTCAGAAGATAGAACTCTTCATAACTAATGCTGTGAGAACCTCAGATTCTTGAATGTACAGTAAATATGTAGGGCTGAACTAACAACCTTTTACTATAGTTCTAAATAGGAATTGCAGAAGTTCTTCAAGTAACTGTGATTCATACTACGTTACTTCTCAGATGACTAGCATGCACAGTACTGAACATTCTGTAAGGTGAACGTGGTGAACAGTAAATTTCAATTTTAGGATGAAAGAAGATGATGCAAAAAAATTGAAGGAGGAGTATCAGAGGTTGGTGGAGGGCTTGAGAGATGCAAGTGTTGCCAGAGAGACGGATGTTGTGTTATCCAACCCTGTGTTGCCTGATGAAGTTCTGAAAGGTACTGCATTAGCCCATTCTTTGTTCTTGTAATGTCTGAGAGGTTATGTGCTCTACATCATTGTTTCTGGGAGTTCCGTGGAACCAACTGTATAACAGAGTAGACTTTCTGAGAAACTAATAGCTCCTGGTCCAATGAAGAAATTACCTGCCTCCTATGAAACACAAAAGTTTATTATCAAGTTCACAGAAGTTGTCATTGGACTCTGTCGTGAGCTACATTAATTCAGTTCACATCACACTTTATTTTGTAATACACTTTAATATTATCCTCCTGTCTATGCCTAGGTCTCCCAAATAGTCTCTTCCCTTCAGGTTCTCTGATTAAAATTTTTTATGCATTTCTTGTCTGTCTCATGCACTGCTCATGTCTCCCTTCTTAATATCATTATCCTAATAACATTTAAAACAATAACTTCCCTGCCCCAGTTTTTAGATTTTCTCAATTCTAGAAGTCAGTTCACTGGAATTTTTGTTGCGTTTTATCCATGTGTGGAGGGGGTAGCCTGTTGAAAGCTACTGTGTTAACCCGTGGATCAGTACCTGTAAGTTTGCCTGTAGAATTTTAACGTGTGCTTAGAGGTTTATTACCTATACCTCTTGGATTTTATGAGTTGCTCCTATCTCTTTACATTGAGTTTTACCTGAACATGGGTGCAGCCCATGGTAGATCTTCAGCTTGGAAGGGGTAAGTGAGTATGATGACTGGAGATGATGGCACACAAACGCCTATGTTATAGACAGGGTTTAAATTTAAATAATGTTTCATCAGCCTAACACCATGTATACCTTAAGTGGCATGGCAACTGTGATTAGCAAAATTATATTTTGACAACCGTCATAAAGAATTGATACACTTTAATACAGTTTGTATGTTTAAAGAGCTTTTGTTGGACCGTATGTATCAGAATATATTATATTTTTTATATATTTTTCCTAGAGGCTGTTCCAGGCAGCATTCGAACTGCAGAGCATTTTGTAGGATTTCTGAAGAGGTTTGTGGAGTACCTGAAGACACGACTTCGTGTGCAGCATGTGGTATTGGAATCCCCAGCCAGCTTCCTCAAAGATGTCTACCAGAAAGTGTGCATTGAGCGCAAACCTCTCCGGTATATAGAAATAATTTCGTTAATTTATTGTCTGCATCTCTTCTCCAAGTATAATTAGAATGATCAAGTCAAGGAGGATGAGGTGGGCAGGTCATGTAGCACAAATGGGGGAGATGAGGAATGCATATAGGATATTGGTGGGAATGCCAGAAGGAAAGAGGCCACAGGGAAGACCAAGGCATAGGTGGGTGGACAGTATTAGAATGGATCTTAGAGAGATAGGATGGGATGGTATGGATTGGATAGATCTGGCTCAGGATAGGGACCAGTGGAGGGCTCTTGTGAACACGGTGATGAACCTTCCGGTTCCATAAAATGCTGGGAAATTCTTGAGTAGCTGCAGAATTGGCAGCTCCTCAAGAAGGGCTCACCTCCATGAGTGAGTAAGTAAGTAAGTAAGTAAGTAAGTAAGTATTGTCTGCATCTCAGCAACTGCATTTTTTTTATATATGTCCATGATCAGTATCATTTGTTTTCCTTCCCTTTAATGTGTACTAACTTCTTAGTACATTGTGCTCCTGGTCTAATTAATAAATATTCAGGTCAAGACATTTCTTGCTTGTAGAGAACCCACTGAAGCCCACCAGTGGACTCTGTTTTACTCCTTTCCTTTCTGTTCTACCCCAAAGATGAAGGCAGCACATTACTCTGAGATACTGGCAGACTTCTACCACATTACATGGCACTACATCTCAGCAGATCCATACCTTCACAGTCACTGCCATGAAACACCTCAAATTCCACATTTCTTTTGAATTCATATAGCCTTCATAGGAAGATACTGTCTTCTGGTGTGTAGTGTGGTAGATGGATTCCTGTCTACCAATTAAATGACGTTAATTCTAGAAGAAAATAATGTTCATATTTAGTACCACGAGAACCTCACTTCCCATACATTTCTGTAGGGTTCATTTAATGTTAGTCTCCCATCTGTGCACAGGTTTCCCTCAAGATGTTGCAACCAAAATGTGAGATGCATTTCTTGTTTCCTCTGATATATGCATTGTGTCCTGCCATTGCTAAATAAGGGAGAGGCATGATGTGAGGATGAACATACAAATGGTATAGAAAAGGAATATAGGAGAAAAGGTGGCAGGAGATGAAGGTATGAAGTGGATAAAACCGTGGAAGAACGGAGGCGAGAGAGCTGTTTTGACCTGAAGGAGGGGGAAGAAAGAAGGAGGAAAATAATGATGATAGGATGAACAAGAAATGGAAAGGAAATACTGGAGAAAGAACGGAAGGAGATAAAAATAATAAAGAGAGATAGGAGAAAGAAAGTATTATCCCCAATCAATTTTGTTGCATAATATGTGTAATGATAATTAACAGTGTTAATTGTTTATGAGACTACAGTGCAGATTTGTCTGCATGGCAGCACTAGTGTAATACACCTTCCATTTCATCACTACTTTATCCCTTGTTCATTTATATTGTAACGTGTTTACGTTACAGAAGACGCCGTAGAGATGGTTAATTGGTTTATTTAACAATCTACAAATAACGGCTACAATTAATTATCACAATATTACGGGTTTCCACACTTTACAAACCCTACAACAAAGTCTCTTAACACGATCTTCACTTGTCTTCACGTACTAATAACGCGGGAGCTATACAAGCCTCCCTGAATTACACACTCCAAATATAACTGTACTACAGCACTCACTAAATATCGAAAGCACACAATAAGTCTTCCGCTCGCTGACTTCTTAGTTGTCGTGCACGCGTCTGTAACTCGTAACTTGCGAACTCAGAACTAACTCGGAGGTAGCTCGCTTATAAACCCTCAGCAGGTCAACGAGAAAACAACCACGTGGTAGGCATCACTGTTTATCCGTGTTGCCTAGTGACCGCGATATCCCTCGGTGACGTCACCACGGGGAGAGTGGTGGGGTGATGACTCGCCTATTACGCAAGCGCTACGTTACCGCCGGGGAGGTAGGGTTCACATGTCACAATATATTCTCATCTGTCTATTCTGAAATGGCCACTGTTTTTCTTTCCTTTGATTGTGACCAAGTTTAATATCCATTTTCTTCCTTACACCAGAAGATACATTTATTTTTAATTGAATATCACAGTTGTGGAATAACAATAGTTTTTCTTGTTTGATGCAGGTTTTGCCATGAAAGATTGGCATCGCTCTTACGTACATTGGAAATTGCTGATCTCACAGACTTTTCACCACTGATTCTTATTACTCATTTGGCAACACTGGTGTCAACATACACAAAAGGATTCACCATTATTGTGGAACCATTTGATGACAAAACTCCGACAGTATCAAATCCCATCCTTCACTTTAGGTGGGTACACAAGAGATGAACTTGGAAAGCTCACTTACCTTTGAGTCCTGATCGCTACTCAGTGCTCAACAAATATGTTTGTCTTTTTGTCCTTGGTAAGTGAAAAAGTTGCGGCTGTTTGAATAGAAAATGATTATATGGTACATACGTTTCATTAAATATTTTATGCTTTAATGAAATATATAAGTACCTGATGATTAAGGATTGTCTGAAGATTTCTGACACTGTTTCATTTATTATACGTGTATCATTTTGGACATAGTTCCTGCCTGAGGTCTGATACACATGATGTGTCAGGAGTTGGCTTGACTCATGACTTCATGCAATTGGTTGTCATTATACTGCCTGATCCGTCTATTCTTCTTTAATTCCAAATTCAATGATAACCAGATCAAATCCAGGACATTTTTAATGTTAGGCCAGAATGCTGACTACTGTATTTCATGGGGTGGGCCATTTGATGTTTTGGGAGTTGGTTCTGCTTCTGTCTTTGGGTGACTGGTTGTCATTTTTTTTCTTTGGTGCAACAGCCCCAATTTTGGGCCTTGGCCTACCTTCATGAAACTCTCTGTTTCACTTCGGTTTACTAGATCTTAGACATTTGGTAGGACTCCTTGTACAGGTGATCAGCTCGTTGCAAGGCCTCTACCTGTACACAAACAAAGAAAAATGCGCACGCACTCACACACACACTCTGAACATCCATGCCCTGAGTGGGATTCGAACCCATGATCCTGGCTTGCAAGTGAGTGAAGACAGTGCATGCCTTAGACTGCTCGGCTACAGCGACTGGTGACTGATTGTCATTACATGGACATATTGTGTTTGTCTAGTGGTCAGTGTTACTAGCTTAATACTTAAAGGTCCTGTGTTTGATCCCAACCATTACCATTACTCTTTGATAAAGAAATCTGTTAGTATAATAACAGTCAGTCACATGAAATTTGGAGGAAAGTTAACTCCTGATGTGTCATATGTATTAGATGTACCTTAGATAGTGCAGTATCCAGCATGATACAGATTCATCTGAAGATGGTGCTTAGGAAGCATTTATTTACCCCTGTTGCAGCTGTCTGGATTCCTCTATTGCTATCAAGCCAGTGTTTGACCGGTTTCAAACTGTGGTGATCACATCTGGAACTCTGTCACCACTAGATATGTACCCCAAGATTCTGGACTTCCATCCGGTCATCATGAGTTCCTTCACCATGACATTAGCGAGGCCCTGTCTCCTCCCAATGGTGAGATCATACATTACATGACACGTGCACACACTGCTTTGTGGTATCAGATCACTGAACAAGTTGACTGAGTGGTAATGTGTCTTACATAGTCACAATATATACAGTTCTCAGGTTTCATGTGAAGTACTACGTATCCTGATTGAAGTTTTTCATGATTTTCCCCAGTCCTTCATGAAGAATGTGAGGTTAACACCTTAAAGTGGGATGCTACCACTTTCTGGCCCAGCCATATTACCATACATAATTATCCTTATTGTAGATAACCTATGCAGTTAATACTGGATCATTAATTAACCCATAGGAATTGGGATAACTCAGTGAGTATAATGACTGGGCTACCAGCTGGACAGACCAGGGATTTGGGGTTCAGTTCCAAGTAGGGAACAGACTTTTTTAGCTTACTGTCTTTAATTTGAAAAATAAAAGTAAGCTTATGAGATCACCATGGTGTCTGTATGTGTATCCCACTCTAACGTTGTTAGGCAGTGGCACGGTAAACATGTGCGGCAACAGATGCCACTCACCTCCATCTAGTGCAAAAATTAAGAATACATGGAGCTTTACCTTCACTCATCATGGTGAAGTGTTTAATTAAGCACAGAAGAAACTTTACCTTTATTTTTGATGAGTCTATGAACCAACATGATAACAGGTAAAGTTGCCCCTGAAGCTAAACATGCCTTGAAGCTGTGGAGATAATGCTCCATGCAGTCTAGAATTTGACAACAGATGAAGTGCAGTGGTCACCTTCACACTCCGGCTGTTTTGCCTTCAGGATAAAAGTCTGGGTAAACCCCACTGACTGAATAGTAACAATCATGGGTCATATATACATACATATATTTATTTAATACATTTAAAATGGGGCACGTGGTAGCATAGTTGGTTGAGGCACTATGCTACAAGCCAGGTCATGGGTTCAAGTCCTGATGAGGTCATTGGATTTTTTCAATTGACCTATTTCTTCCAGCTGCACTATGGTCCTGGGGTAGACTCAGCCTCTAACAGAATTGAGTACTGGGAATATTCTTGGGGGTAAAGGGTGGCTGGTGCATAAGGCTGACAACCTCACCGCCATCTGTGAGCCGATTGTCTAGAAAATGTGGGAACCTCAACATCTCACAACCCTATGGGCGTCCACGGCCTGTTACAGGGATACCTTTACTTTTTACTTTATACATTTAAAACATATTCCCATTAAGTTGCATCTATGCCTCTGTGTTACAACACAATTTAGGGCTTATAAATGTTAAAACTAACATTCATTTCTCTGGTATGTTTTGTGACACTTTCTGTATCTGAGACTATATAACATGGAACGGTAGGATGACTGATGAATTGGAAAGGATTTGGAAGGGAGTGGTTGTGGCCTAATGAAGATACTGTCCTGGCATTTGCCTGAAGAGTCTGAGGAACACCATGAAAAGCCTCAAGTCAGGCTAGCTGGTGTCACAGCCGAGAGTTGGACTGAGCGTCTCCCAAATGCGAGTCTAGATCATTACCTCTGTACCAACTTGCTTGGTAACTGTCATATCCAGTTCATGCTGAATTAAGACAAAGCACCTGGAAATTTTAGTTAAAATAGCTGTTTTCATTGTCACTGTTATCTATGTTGTAGATTGTTTCTAAGGGCAATGACCAAGTTGCTATCTCGTCCCGGTTTGAGACACGGGAAGACGTTGCTGTGGTGCGGAACTATGGCCAGCTGTTAGTGGAGATTGCAACCATTGTACCAGATGGAGTTGTGTGTTTCTTCACATCATATCTATACCTGGAGTCTGTAGTGGCAAGTTGGTATGACCAGGGTGTAGTGGACAGTTTGCAGCGAAACAAGCTTCTATTTATTGAAACTCAAGATGCAGCAGAAACCAGCCTTGCTCTTCTGAACTACATCAGAGTGTGTATCTGTCTCTTGAATATATTACATGACTATGCCTAATTAACTACCTGATAACAGAACCTGAAAATTCAGTATCACTAATACCAACACCTACCATTGGACACATCTTCAGCCTATTTCTCCAACATCCATTTTAACCAATGTGCATATATAAAGTTTAAATCTGTACTACTGGCATAGTAGCAGTTGACAGCAACAACATAAAATTTGGTTCAGAATACCCATTAAGTAATTCCATTCCACAAGATATTCATTGAGGAATTCATGGATATTTATCTGATCCTTAACCATGCTGCTCCTATGGAAACCAGAAGTTATATTATCATCACAAGACTTTGTCTTTACACCATACACCGAGCCACATCAGTGTAGTTTATATTTATAACATGTCTGTCTAAAAGTCTCGTCTACACCTTGGGGTTTCTTATGGTCTCTACACATGAGATTCCCCCCCTTACAAAATGATTTGTATGCTTGTTTTCCATATCTCTGCTGCATTCTTTGTTTATCACACCTAGTCATATTTGAGTAACATATTTATGAATTTAAAAAGAAAATAACTTTTATGGGATTTCATGCTCTGAGGGGCCATGACAGAAAGGGCTAAAATCTCTCTTTTTTAAACTTTGTGTTCTTTGATATCATTCAGCCTGCACTTTGTCATATTTGTATAAGGAAATTCTTACAGTATTCCTCAGGGTGCAAAATGTTTTGAGCACTGAAATGGCAGAAAATATGAAAAGAAGAAACCTAAACATTTGCTGTGCTTCATACACTGAATTATTTAGAATGAGTACTCACACTGTCTATTGAGTGAGACTTGCTTTGTTATGGTAGGCCTGTGAAAGTGGGAGAGGAGCTGTACTGTTGTCTGTGGCTCGAGGAAAGGTTTCAGAAGGTGTGGACTTTGATCATCATCTGGGCCGAGCTGTTCTGATGTTTGGGATTCCTTATGTATACACACAGTCAAGAATACTGCGGGCCAGATTAGAATATCTCCGGGACCAGTTCCAGGTGAAATACAATGCTAAAGTTTCTTATTCTTTCTTGTATTTCCCAATAGTTACAAGTTTGCTGCTCTTGTACTTCATAGATGTTGAGTATTCCTTTAATGTGTAAATATGAAAGTAAAGTTATTCCTTTGCTTAATTAAGCACCAGGCTATGGATAAATATGGGGGACTGGATGCATGCATTCTTAACCTCATTACAAGATGGGAATGATCAGCTTTATGCCCCAGCTGGTTTATCTCCAGTACCCACTGGACGTGAGGCTTAGTGGTTCTCAAAGCTGGTATGGACAAAGTGGTGAAGAGGAGAAATCTCTTGCCCCTTGCCAGAATGAACAGTGATTGTCTAACCTATAGCCATTCATTGCACTGACTGATCTGTACTAGCAGCTCCACAGGATATAATTATGTTGAATCAAATCATTTCCATTTGCAATATTCTCTTCATCACAGTGACACCTTAGATTGAATAAATATGGTATATTGTGAACATTAATTTGTTACAGATACGTGAAAATGACTTCCTGACATTTGATGCAATGAGACATGCTGCACAGTGTGTGGGGCGGGCCATCAGGGGCAAGACTGACTATGGTATCATGATATTTGCAGACAAGGTACATGGGATAGTAATTTAATCTCTTCATCATATGAACAATGCAGTTTTCAGGAAATTAATATTGTGCATTTATTGTAGAGGTTCTCTCGTGCTGACAAACGCAATAAGCTTCCAAAGTGGATACAAGAACACCTCAAAGATTCACTGTGTAACTTATCTACTGAAGAGGCTGTCCAGGTAAACAAGACAAGAATATTTATTTTTATCAAAGTGTTACTAGTGTCAGATCAAAAGTAGGAACATTTTATGCTTAAAAACTGCAACTTTCTGGAGCATAGCACTTCCTTGGGTAAAATATGGAAGGGACAGCATCCAGATATGAAGGGTAGATGTGAATATAATTCACAGACAGCTGACAAGGGTTGTACTCCAATTACATATAGGGCTAATAACCTTTCACCATAAAATGTATTATAGAACTCTGCAAATGTCTCAGAATTGCATGGATACTTTGTAATTCAGTGTTCTGATTTATATAGGACAGGTGTTTGGGAGTCATTGGTTACAGAAGAAATGAACTACAGCAAAGTATAATTTGAATATAATAGATATACAGAGGTTAAACTGCTTGATGAGGAGAAATGTGTATTTTACCATGGAAAGAGAAAAAGAACCACAGCTTTGGTACCAGCTTGTTATTGAAGAATTGCCTTAAGAAAAGCTCTTATGTGGAACTAGAATGCATATTTGATTAATTTTGTAGGTCCCACATGCAAAATTTGGCAGGAGATTTGTGTGGTGAAGTGCTACTGATACTGTCTCTACTGTTAGCACAGGTAATTAGGAACTGGTGGCTGTGTCTGCTTGCAGATTTCTAAACGCTGGCTGAGGCAGATGGCACAACCGTTCAGTCGAGAGGATCAGCTGGGTGTGTCACTGCTCACATTAGAGCAGCTGCACAGTGAAGAGATGCAGAGGAAGCAACAGAACACTGCTGATCAGAAACTATAAGACTTCAGTTTAATACAAATACTACGACTGTATATTGGACACTGTTTTCTTGGGTACACTTGATATTTTGGAAAGTGGGCCTATTTTTGTCATCAGGTCTTAATCAAGTATGCATCAGAAAATGGAGACTGTCCAACATAATTAATACCACTGTCAGAAACCTTTAGAGAATTACAAATACAGTATTGTACCTTTTTAACAGTGTTGTTTCTTTAAATGCAGTTGCAAAATGATGTGATGGTAAAAAGTCAGTTTTCCCTTCCCTCATACTTTTGTCATAGTCACATTTCCTTTCACTAGCCCTTTGTAGCTGCAAGACATTAACCAACACAATGTTTCATTAGCATTTTTATACTCCATGGAGTATAGTTTCTGTATGTGTATAATTTTGCATCTCTCAGTGACATAGTTTCTGATTTGAAAATGTGAAGGCTAAATACACTCATGTGCCAAAAGTCATGGGATAGCAGTATGTAAATTTATTTTTAAGTGGCGCCACTGTCCCTTGACGGCTTGGGAATGCCCAGAGCAGTATCAGTTGTGAGGTGTTCTCTCGTAAGTCAGGTTGAACACCGGCCAGTCTGCTTATGGCAAGCCGACTTCAATTACTGGAGTTTGAATGGGGCATGATAGTGGGTGCCAGGTGGATGGGACATTCCATTTCTGAAGTTGTGCGGTCATTCAACATTCCTCGATTCACGGTGTCACATGTGTACTGGGAATACGTTGTGGAAGGCATTTCCACCTACAGTGGACAGCGCAGTGGCCAACTACGGGTGCTTAATGATCATGACCAGCGACGTCTAGCTAGAATTGTCCGTGGTAACAGACAAGTGACACTGGCTGAAATCACATCCACATTCAATGCAGGAGGTAGCAGACGCATATCCAGCAGGTCAGTGCAGCGTTCTTTAGCTTCCATGGGATATGGGAGCAGAAGACTGACCAGAGTGCCTGTTAACACCACGACACTGGACACAGCAACTCACCTGGGCTTGTGACGTCGCTAATTGAACCCTGGAGGATTAGCAACATGTGGCGTGGTCCGATGAGTCACGGTACCACTTGTTTTGGGCGGATGGTAGGGTTCGGGTGTGGCACAGACCCAATGAGGCCATGGACCCCAGTAGAGTTGGTGCACTCCGCCGGGCTAGAGGGGGTCCTACACGATACTAGGTACCTATCCCATGACTTTTGGCACTTCAGTGTATATCTACATAATTTTTATCAGTTTATTTGAATTAGTTAAATATTACATACACGAAGTACAAAACCTTGAGGTTATGTCTAGCCATTTCCAAGTAGGGGATATCTACACTAGCAGAAATTTTAAATATACTAATTTACAATTTGTGGTAGCCTCTGCAGTTGGAAGCAAGTATCATAAGCTCTTTTTAGAAGGCTTGTTATGTCATAACTGAGTCTGCTCTATAAGCCATAGAGAATGAAAGGGAGACTGTATAAGGTTTTTTATCCTTTGTTTGGAGTATCTATTAAATGTTCTATTTTATCTTACTTATTTCTTTCATAATTCTGCTGATCCTTTTAATAGTACACTGTCAAGAATGATTTTCTGCTAAAAACTGAACACATCAGTGCAGAATTAGCTGATTATAGCAATGATTTCTTTCCTGTTATTTTTATTAAAAGTAAAATTACATCTCTGCATATAACTCATATTCTCAGCATTATAACGATTGACATTATAATATTTCTGGATCATTGAGGATGTGTAGTTTTATTACTCATCATAATGGTCATCTTATCCTCCAGTGAATATTCTAGGTAAACTGTCTTTCACTGCATAACCAAGTCTATACAATTCACTTATCACAACTCTGTTCTTATGAAGTGCAATGAGGGAGTTCTTGGACTGAATTTATTATAGGAAATCAAGTACATGGTAAGAATATTGATATAGTACACAACACTTGTTTACTTCTTCAACAGGACACTTTAAGTTATGTTCCAGGAGTGACAGAAATTACATTCTGTTAAAACATGTGTTATAGGTATATCACATTTCAAAATGGTTGATGTTAGAGAAAAACTCTATGCACAATTCGATGTGCAAGTTAGGAAGACAATCTCAGAAAACTATGAGAGGCTAATAACTGCATTTAGAGCTCAAACTTTCAGCTGCTCAAAAACATATGAACAGTTTACTTCCTTTCAAGATTGCCAAACTTCTATGAAAGATAGTGAACTTTTCTGATCATCCATAGACATTGCCCACAGATGACCCTGCTTCCATTTGTGGTGAGAGAAGAATAATGATTCATTAGATTGAAGCAGAACTTGTCATCTAATGTGCATTTCAGATGATTTTAACTCTTGGGAATGTGGAGCGCCTTGGTGGGTTTTTACCATGGAACAGACTTCAAACTGAACAGCATTCTAAATGGAAGATTTCTGTTAGTGCCCAAGGACATACAAGGAGAACCAATGAAGGAACTGAAAGCTGTCCAACGCATGAGTGAGATGAAATATAAATTAAAATACCTGTGCTTAAAATCATGAATAAGTGGACTGTAGCTCAGATCCTGCATGGGCAGTCCCATTTCTTAACAAGGGTCCAAAAAGGAAAGTGCCAGAAACTGTTAACAAATGTCAAGACAGGTGGAGTAACTGTACAGAGGGGAACTACAAAAGATACCCCCGACATATATCTCCGATGCCACAGGTTCCAATGCCGCCCTCGAGCTAACTTTTGTGGACCCAGGATCAGCACTAGTATACACCTGGAAGGTTGGAACAGACCCATGGAATAGCGACCATTATCCAATTTTCATTGAGTATAACGGCAAAATAGAGCCAAAGGAGTGCAGCAAGAAGGCTTCAAGATTGCACAATAAACACACAGATTGGAATGTCTTCATGGATAAAGTTATAGAAAAAATCAGGGAAGTTAAGACCCATGATGGATGGAACAGAGAGAGGGATGTAAAGGAAAGGTATGACCATTTAATCCAGATAATTAAAGGAAAGGTAGCAGATACCACCCCCAAAAGGAAAAGCCAAAATAACTTCGGAAACGGAGGACATGGAACAACTGGAAACAGAGAAAAACAACCAGCATGTATATGGTGGAACAATGAATGCGACAAGGTTACCAGAATTAGGAAAGCCAAACTGCTGAAATGGAAATACTGCAAAACCGAAGAGACATTTATGGAATACAAAAAGGCAGCGGTTATTGCAAAAAATAGATTGAGAGAAATCAAACAAGATTACTGGAAAAACTTCTGCGATGGATTAAATCAATTCACAAACCCATCGTATATCTGGGATAGAATGAAAAGATTAAAATACAGATT